CCACCGCCCGCAGTACTTCTTCAAGCTCGTCTGCGTCGGGAAGTCGTAGCAGGGTCAGCCTGTCGGCCAGATCCACATCTCCCAACGTTTCGATGAAATGATCCACGTGTTCCCGTAGTACCTTGGATCCCCCATCCTTGATCTTCAACTTGGCCCGTAGACCGGCCACATTTAGTCGATGTAGGTATTCCAACGGGGATTCATCCGATCTGCGGCGAGCATGGTAGTATTGTCGTGCCACCGACACTCCTAATCCACAGTACTGGGTCTGGAAACTGCGCAGCAAATCTGGCCACTTGTTCCTGGTTGATCTGCCCAGCTGCCGATACCAGTTCCTGGCTGGCCCCGCTAGCAGATCCGCAAAGGTCAGACACTTCTCAGCATCCGACGCTTGATCTCTCATGAGGGCCGACTTGACTTTACTGATCCATGTTCTCGCTCGGTCCTCATCTTGATCCTTGCCCGTGAACTCCTTCAACTGAGATCCGTACCCTCTGGATCATGGACGATCCACCTGCCCCGGCTGTGGCCGTTGCTACCACGGCTGCCGAAGTGGATGGGCCATCCAGATCGTCTGGGTCGAACTCATCATGGGAGTTGTCCCCCTCTACTGACTCCATCTCCACGTCCCGTGCTCCATGTTCGTGGAGCACTTGCACTTGTGGCACGGGCGCTCTCATACCCTGTTCGGCCAGGAAGCGATTCATCACAGCTTCGAAGTGTCGCTGCAGGGTGCCTGAGGAAGTGTCGGAAGAGCCTGTGGCCGTCTGGTCCACTGGCGAGACCGGATCCGTGAGGCGATTACCTCGAGCCTGATCTGACGATAATCCCACTGGCTTCTTGCCGGATCTGGCTCGATCCTGGCTGGATTGTGTCAAATCACGCGTAGGGCGTACTGGATCCCGAGCTTTCACGTTCTCAGGGGCTTCCTGTCCTCGGATCCTCGCCCGCGCTTCCAGCATGGATGCCCCGGAGGGTCCTAAAGTCATGCGTCGTGGTTCGGACGACGTGTCTGACTCATCCTCAGCGGCGGATTCGTAGTTTGAGGACGCAGCTTGGCTGATCCTCGGCGACGACACTGGATCCATAGTGCGCGACCTTTCTCCGGTGATGGACTTCACTCTGGCAAAGAGGTCCCGCGTCGCGGATACTATGAGATCCAGGTCTAGCTCGAAGATATCTTCTGCGTCGAACACACCAGCTACGATGCCTGACTCCGTAAGCAAACGTAATAGATCTTTGACTGCCACCAACTTGTTCGCCGTTTTCGTTGGTGCTCTCACCGGTTCCCTTGGATCTTCGATCTGTCGTGGATTCAGGATCTGCATGACAGGATCTTGATGCAGGAAGTCGCGTAAAGCTTGGTGGCGATACACAAACTCGAGATCCTTGTCGGACCAGCTTGACCTGGATCCAGCTTGGTCTTCTTCCGACTCTGGAGCTTGCATCTTCTTCCGCGTAGTCTTACTCGTTTTCGTCTTCTTTCTTGTTTCTTCGACTAGCGGGCTTGGGTTTAGGTACGGTGTTGGCTTAATCGGTGAATCTGCAAATGCATACCGTTTCGCCTTCACTTTCCCTTGTTTTGTTAGCGGATCTTGACTTGCGTCAAGATCCGCAGGGGTCCCCGAGGGGACCTGGGGAGGATAGAGAGGTTTCTCTTCTAGATCCGGATCCGGATCCACCTCTCTTCCGTCGACAGAGTTCCTCCCAAAACTCCATCTATCCGCGGATCTTGTTTCATTCAGCAGCGTCTTCGTCGATCCGACCTCCGACGACGCCTCTTCCCCTGGCTCAATCTTCACTTGAGCATCTTCTTGGGACTCACGGTGAAATCCCGAGTCACCAAAAGATCCGGGCACGCGCACCATTGTGGTGTAGCGGGATCAGCAAAATCTGCGAGATTGCCAGATCCAACTTACCAACTGCGCCCAGACACCGACTAACGGAGGGGGTCCCCCGATGATCCGTGTTCTGCTGAGCTTTCCTCACCTTGTGTACCCGTCGGTAGGGCGGGATCTGCTCTCTCGGTAACTTCCGAAGAGTTCAAGTGGTGAAGCTTGAGTGTCTTGGCGAGACGTGGGGATGGGGTGGAGCAGCAGTGGAAAATCTTCACTCTGCGTCCGTGGATGGTTCCGTATCCTAAGCGAATATTCGAGCTTATGGATCCGGGGCCTAGATCGTGGATCTGGCCGTAGGGTTGCCTTGCGGGTGTGTTCCCTTGCCTTTGTGTTGTCCTTTAAGTCGTACTTGCCGCCTCCTGTGACGGGATCTTGAGAGTTGAGAGCCTCTAGGGTGTAACCGACCAAGTAGTAAATTCGGTTAACCTGTCGGATCTGCACGAGTAAAGGAAAAGCTCACTAGGTTGTAGGATCTGGCCAATGTATTATCCAGTTATCACTACCAACACTAGATTCGCAATTCCCAACCTTCTCGGAGCTCGTACGGCCAATGTAGTTCCGGTTCTTGAGGGCAGGAAGGCACTTGCGTGATACTGTGCAAATTGAGGACTCTATTGATATTTAAGCCTATACCTGCCTGGGTTTCTACCTTCTATGTCTTTCATCTGCTAAATCCCTTACCAGGCTCGGCTGCATGTCCCTTCTTCCCTTGACCCATCATTCCAGCTGTGTTATCTTCAGATCCACCGGATATATGACGTAATCATCATGGTCACCCTATTATGGGTACACTCATCCGGATCCAGGTCGCTTGGATCCACCTCACTGTAATGGTACACTCGCCGTGGATCCGAGCTCTCCAATCATCCAACATCATCTCGCAACCATCTGTGATCTCCGTTGTCCCACGAAAGTTCGAGATCCACTGTATCCCTCATCCCTATACCCTGGATCCAGGTCCCTCCAGGCGGGATCCTCCCTCCTTGGATACGAACTCGGAGGTATGGGATCCGGGGTACCTCGCGGTGGATCTTGACTCTTCATTAGCCGTGGCTACTAGATCCACCGTCAGAGAGCACCGACCATCCTTCCTTCATAGGATCCGCACTCGATCCACTCTTGTATAGTATATCCCATATCCATCTTAGTGAATCCAGGTAAGGGTGGATCCGAGGTAAGTCTTGGTGGATCTTGCCTTCTCGTACATCGCTCATATCAGATCCATCGTCATTCCATACGGGGTGCTGCTCGCCATGACTAATCCACCACAGGCAACTTGCACCCGTGCCAAACAACCCAAATCCTCTATAATCACTTGAAATTGTCACTGATTCGGGATAGTGACCCCGCGTCTGGACCATTCTCTTATTTCTGAGAAAGCACTTCACCACATATTCGTAGACGATGTCGGGGAAAAGGTATGTGTATTTAGTGAATCAAATACATTATATTCATAACGTCTAACATGTTCTTTGTATTAGAAAATTGCAACATGTATTACATTACAGACTAAACACATGCGATCGGTCTACAAACAATTTCCGGAAGTTCTTCTCATTGACGCGACGCACGGAACAAACCGTTCAAAGTACAAAGTTTTCTCTTTTATGGCTCACGATACCTTTGGAAAAGGCCAATTTGTGCAGCACGCGCTACTACAGAACGAGCGATGGCCGACATTACTGACGGCGCTTGAAGAATTTAAGAGTAACAATCCGGCTTGGACAAAACTACGCTGCGTGTTGATCGACAAGGACTTCACGGAACTATCGGTACTGAAGACTGCTTTCCCTGACGTCACTATCCTGCTCTGCCAATTTCACGTCTTAAAGTATTTGCGGGAGGAAATCGCGTCAGCAGACTACGGTTGTAACACGTGGGAAAAGGATCAGCTACGAGGTCTGATGAACCTGCTTGTATATGCGAAGACCGAGAAAGAGTATATGAAGCACTTTCGGTACATGTTGCACGTGTGCGGAATGGGGCGCCCCCGATCTGGGCAATTGACTTCAGATCCAGTTGGGCAGAATCTGGCACCAGTTGGGCAGAATCTGGCACCAGTTGGGCAGAATATTGTGGCGGTCGGGCAGAATGTGGCGACAGAAGCGCGGAATCATACCACATCCGAGTCTGAACGCTGTGAAACTACGAACACAATAGTGGAACCGTTTGAATCCGTCCGACACCCTTTTGTCGCCTATTTCATTAAGAATTGGGACAAATGTCGCGAGCTGTGGTGTGCACACAAGCGCCAAAACACCGTGACGCTTGGTAATAACACCAACAACAGGTTGGAGGCCTCGTGGAAGCAGTTGAAGGAGTGGGTAAACTCTTTTATGGCAGTGGACGAATGCATAGCGTCGATTATGTATTACCAGAGTCTTCAAGAGCGACGATTTATGGATGAGGTGTACAAGAAGGTTAATGTCCAGCATGTTGGTTACGACCGCGAAATGACGTTGGTTGCAAACCTCGTCAGTGAACATGCATGCGAGTTAATACACGATCATGTATATGCTGTTAGCTTTTGAGATATTTGCCGGTGCTGAAAACCTATATCTGCTAAGTCGGAAGGAGCTACAGTATTTGCGCTATCGGTACCTGTGCATGTGCATTTAATGCAACTAGTTTTTCAATGATTTGGTCTTTTGTTAGTGTGTTTGATGCGTTGACTACCTCCAGGTTATTCCCCCTGCACTTTGTCTTGAGAGTTAGATGCTGACCGTCTTGCGGGGTTCAGTTTCAAAGCCAACACACTGCCATCCGGTTATACGTATACTCCGAAGACACGTCAACTGATGACACGTCCGGCTCTTCCTGAGTCTGGCATATTCGGGCATGCTAATCGGTTGTATTCTGGTGTAATTGTACTGTCTCTTGTTACCCAGTCTAGTGCCTATTTTATTTCAATAAAAGAGAGCATATCCAGCTTCTACCATGGTGATAATGTCATGGCATGATGCCTCGCCAGGCTGGCAGACAAACATGTATTATTGCAAAGTAAGTATATCGCGGATAGCAAATAAAATTTGAAATTATCATCGTCAAAGATTCATCAACTTGTACATGTAGCGCAAAATGACTTGTTGCTCCCACCGTTCTTCACATCAGTTCCAGTTGCAGTTGAAGCATAGCTGTTTGTGCAACTTGTACTTCGAAGTAGGTTGCAAATTCCGTGAGGCCTATGGTAATACCATACCATTGGTTATATTAGTAAAAACGCCGAAACTTATAGACTTCATCCGCCAAGTATGTATTCACCATGCAGGTTCCCTCTCATCCACCGTCCTAATGCACTGCATGCAGTACATGTATGAACAGGTGTAAAAAGGCAGCAGTGTTTGGCGTGGAACATGTACCAATCTGCAGGTCTTCTTCAAGAATAGTTTTTGAACACTGAGGCACTGGCTCAAGCAGGTCGCCTACGGTAAGGGTTCAGTTGCGTGTTCATTGCCAATGAGTCATTAAGCATTAGGGACACGTCATCTATCGGTTGCTGTGTGGCCAAAAGGTGGCACACTACTGCACAGCTCCTGTTCCATGTACTCGCGATGAAAGTGAAGCGCTTCAAGACGCAGTCGCAAGTTTCTCTCTTCCTCCTCCATCACGGCAACCAAATTCAGTGCTTCGTGTTGTCGCTGCTTTTCAGTCATCAGGCGCTCGAAGTGCTGTTTGGTTGCTGCCTCGCGAAGTTGGCGCTACAGAAAGAAAGATCCGTTGTCAGGCCAGGTCAAGAGGAAATACCGCTCCCAAATACGCACCAGTTTCTCAGCTCGAAGCTCTTTGGCCTGCTGCTCTTCAGCCCGTATCCGCTCGTTCCGACACCGTCGCTTGTATTCCTGATCTGCTTCTTTTGCCTTTTGGCCGGCTAGAGCTAGCTTTATATCCGAAGAAGGAGCAAAGATCAAACGTTAGTGCGGCAGTAGACCAGAGTTCACATACTTCTACTTAGTACTCACCTTCAGCCGCTCTTTTTGCTGGCGAGCAACTTCCAGCTTGCGCAATTCGAGCGTCCGTTTCTGTTTCTATCGATGCAAGAACAAAGTACAATAGTCATTAGTCAATGATGCCTGAGTACTCGAAGTTGTGAGCTTACGGCAATAAAATCTCGTTGCTCGCGGCTACGCGGTACATTCAGTTTTCGCTTGTAAACTGGAAAAGTTGGCACATTTTTTTGCTTGGCACTACTTTGGGGAACATTGTGCTGAAGAGGGAGTGGGTGAAGATGCGAAGTATGGTGGGCCTGGCCGGTACCAACGGAGGTTCTTGGTCTCTGTCTGGGTTTCTTGAGGTTCGTCTCCAGGCGTGTTCTCATAGTTTGCATCTCACGAACCACTCGTTCTTCCTGAGTGCGAAAATGTGAAATGCGTCTCGCCAGCGTTTGTGCTGTATCTTCCGCATCCTTCCGGGCAACAATTACGTGGTAAATATTCTCTGCGTCTCGTCCTGACGCAGTATCTGCAGCAGGAGCGTCTCCCTGCCACGCAACGTCGACGCTTTCCACTTCTCGTGTGGTTTTAGGTAGAGTAGGAACTGTAACTGGTGCAAAGCATCGTCTCGATCCAACAGCACTAGAAGGCCTCCTTGCGCTATTGCTAACAGGACGAACAGGTTGTGGTGGAATAGTTCCACATAGCGAGATCGAGGGCGTCAACGGAGCAGGATTTCTTCCATTCGCATGTGACGCTGGGGCAGGAGAGCTGCGAGTCTGTGAGCTGCGCACAGATCCAGCCGACTTCGGTCTCACAAACAGAATCTTTGGTGGTCTAACGCTCTGGTTCATAGCGGCAATCCCGCTATGGTTACCATAGGTGATTTCATAGCGGCGAGAGGAGCTTGTCGTGGGCTAATTATAAAAATGGGCTCAGAAGTTCGCGTATAACCGCAAGGGCAGCGTGCGATCTCGACTGATCCCTGCACGATGTCGAAGCGAGCGGAGTCTCAAGTTGCACAGCCCTCAAAGCCGTCAGGAAGCAAGAGTGTTGAGATGCCTCGTTCGATCCGACCATCACATCTGAAAGCTTCCTCGACGCAACAATCGCGAAATTCGAAAGCAATTTCCAGCTCAAAGTCGATCCACAGTGAGGATGACAACAACAGTAGTTCCGACAGGTACATTCTGTAGACATAGGACTTCGATCTGCCACCAGCTAATATTGACTGCAGTCCACACACTTCAGCTCGAGAGGCTGAGCCAGCTACAGACGACATCACTAGTGAATTAGATGGTCGCACGGATAATTTCCAAGTGAACACTGTAGAACGTCAGGCTGTGGCGATGCTGAAAACAATAACCAAGAAGAGCGAAAGAAATCACCACAAGTGCGTGACCTCAACAGAAATCCAACTGGCCAGTTTATTCGCTAACGTTGGTTTGCACTGACAGGTACGACGCCTTTCGTTCCAACATCTCGGGGAAAGATAAGCGCATTGATGAGCTTCACGCGTCGTACGCTCCATCCACTAGCACTGGTGTATTTCTCCCAATGCTGACCCTTATTCTTGGCATTTAGATTCGAAGACTTGGCTAGTCAAACTGCGGACTTAGAAGTACTTTGCAACAGCGACGTGGATGCCGATACACTCGACAAACTTTTCATGGCCATCCCCACCGAACAGCGTCAGCTTTATCTTAGCGAATAGTTTTTTAGTGGGTGTACTGAGACTGGAATATCACACGTCCACGACAGCATCTGCTCGGTCATGAGGGAGGCGGGAAGGTAATGCGTCCTTAAAAATCTGATCCAGTGTTAGGTCCTGCGTGAAAGAGTCAAGAGCTCGTAGGTTGCTTGTGTCAATCTCCTTTTCCCAGTGTGTTTTCCATTCTTTCGCCAACCCTTCCCATTGTTTCTTGCTCCATACTCGATTGGGTGCACGAGGTTCATCAAAAGCGTTCGGACTTCCGGCTGAAGTACATGTAGAGCTTGGGGGGAACGCTGAGCTTACTTCTTCACCTTCTGACATAGCCTCGGAGCGGTGAAACTGCATCTCATTGTTGGCCATGTTTTCTATATCAATCTTTGGTCTGTTGCTTTGAACAAATCCGAGTAAATCCTTCGATGGTCGCAGTGCTGTTTGAGCGAACAAATTCATTCGTAGTAGTGGCAACAAAGTCTGCTGCGGACACGTCGTTGAACGTACCGACGGGATGAAACACTTTCGAGGTAGCACATCACCTAGAGGTGGTGTACTAGTCACAAAGCTGAACAGTCTAGACCCAAACATGTGCATCAAGGGATGCGAGTCGGATACGAGCATATAGAAATACTTTGGGTTGTCAAAGTCGCACATTGACTCGGAATCAAATGGATACTTCCGCTCCTTGAAAGCCAAAATATCCTCCATGAACTGGGCCGCAGCTTCATCACTTAAGACCAGCAAGCGCGACGGGTTCCGTGTCGACGACGCTGCGCAAAACCACCCTCGAAAGTATTGCTTGGCGTATTTCCCGATCGATAGCCACTTGAGCGATGCCTGATGACGAGCAAGAAATTGGAGCTGGAGGTTATAGTTAAACGTGTAGCCCAACACCATCAGCGGTTGATCATACAACTTCCACATGGCGTTAATCTTACGTAGTAAAAAGCGTACGTGTCCGACAGATCGTCCGGCGCCAGTAGTGTCTTCCCAGTCCGACACGATAATTCCATACTGCTGATGCATTCTCCCGAACTGGTAGAAAATGTCAGAAAGCGAAAATGACGACGCGAAAGCACTGCTCAGCATCTTTTGAGCTTCCTTGATTGGGTACATGAGCTCGCTCAGAGCCTCGACATTTTCCCAAAACTCTGCGTTCTGAATCGTTCGGATAACAGCAGGTGAGAGTCCGCACTCCGCCAGCTCGTCCACGGTGTTTCCTGCGCTATCTTTGCGTGGGTTGGCAATCCTTCCTGCCAAATCTCTGGCGTTTGATGAAGCCCGAAAAACCTTGGAAGCTATAATTTTGATCATGTCTTCGTACTGCCGAACAGAATCAACAGCCTCGATGAAGGAATACCACTCGCATTGTAATGGCGCATGCAGTGCTGCATCTGGGTCGCCACATTCGCGTCGAAACACCTTATTCACACGATGATTCGAAAACATTCGTACAAGATCGACCACTTCGCCAACAGTTTCCTTGGATTTGTCGGTCCCTGTTAAGACAGCACCCAGCAACATCTGCAGTAAGTGTGAAAAGCACGGCAGCACTGGAATTGCCAGATTTGTCCACTCGCTCGAATTGACAGCTACACGAGAGGCTGCGTACGTCAGTGTTGTCTCGGCAACAATATTGATCACATGGATCCCCTTTCTCCGCAAATCCGCCAAGTTGTCCTTGATCTTTTCGGCTAAGGACTCAGGCGTACTGTCTCCAATTCCCATGTCAATTACTTCCCACGTGATCGCTTCCCTTAGAGCGTTTACTAAAGAGAGCAGGACGAAATTCGATCTCGGGTAGTTAGACGCCCACCAGTTCACAGCCAGCGTAACGCCGACTTGCTCGTCTTTCATCTTCATAATCTGTTTCTCATGGGCAGCGACCCTCAGCGTTGACAGCAGCTCAGCACTAGGCGGCTCGATCTTTGAGTTCTGATCTCCAAATACTCGAGCTGAAGCCTCGGTCCACATCCAATCCCAAGGCAGACCTGTTGATAGCGTTGCCGACACCATCCGCTCGCTTAAATTGTCAGCATCAGGCTCACTATTTGTATGTCGAGTCGAGTGAAGCTCGTTTGGTAGAGAAGCACGCGGCTTCCCGTGCTTCGTTGCAGGTCCGAGTGTCGTGTTTATACTTGTTTTCTGTGGAGTAGACAAATTTCCCTCGTAAGTCAGCGGTTGGGATGACGATAGAGTCGTCGTGAGGCCTCCATTCATCTCGGACGACAGTAATGGCAGCTGTAGAGGCATGAAATCCTCCACTCCGGTTGAATCCTGTGCAGTACTCGTCTTTGCTGCATCTATTGCTGGGCCGCGAATAGTGTTTCGCAATGGTAAGACGTTTGCGTCTCGTTGGTCTCCTAGCCGTCTCGACTTCTTCTTTGGAGCTGGAGAGTGTGATGCCTCCTGCAGAAACACGTCCATGTTACGAGTCTGTGACTGGTGCCGCTTGTTAAAACTTGCAGCATCTTTCTGTGCACACAACAGCTTCAACTGCGTCACCACTTCTGGAGGACAGTAAATGCACTTCTGTAGATGTCGGATCATGTTGCCCGACACTCCACGAACAGCCACTGGCTCCTCTCCGTTCTCATTGCAGAATTTACAGTACGCGTTATAGTGAAAGCGATTGCGCTTCTCTCCTCGGATAAAATACTGCCACGCAGGATGACTGGGTCGACCCATTTTCTTGTCCTCTGTATCGGAAGTCTTACTCATTAGTGCGTCCTGGTCGAACACATCCGTCGCTGTTGCTCCTCCGTCTCCCATGGGAATTAGTGGCGCCCCAGCTGTGTAACTCGACAGATCGAATAGCGCCGTGCCCGTTGTCATGCCAGTAGCGTCCACCTGCTCGGTAGTTGACGCTTTGTCGGCGTCCACCTCTTCCAAAGCGTTCATGATGCTGCTCTGTGCCCGTGCGATGGCCTTTTCCTCGGTCTCCATCCACGTACGGCAAGATTCTGGCGTACAGCATCGTAGCAAGGTTCAGTTAGGATGCTGAGGAGTGAATGTCACTTCAACACGCACCAGATCAAAGACGCGTAAATACTGCCGTGAAGTGGAAAAGCTCTTGTCGTAAAAACTAGTGGCGACAAGGAAAAGGGTACACTGTACCAAACTTGCGTGGCAGATAATTGTAAATCGCCATGACAGGGGGCCGCGAGGTTGTGCGTGTATCGGCACCCGGGAAGCTGCTGCTTCTCGGCGAGCATGCTGTGGTTTATGGCTGTCCTGTGGTAGCGGCGGCGTTGTCGGATTTGCGCATTACGGCGGAGATTGTACGTGTCAATACGTCAAAAGATCACGTGTACGAGACCCTGATGGGATACACTCGTTCTTTTTGCAGACCCGTACTCACGTACCTGCAGGCATCGAACCCTCGATCGAGTTTTCGTGCAAGGATATCAAGTCTACGCGCGACAAGCAGCCACTGCGACGCACATACACGACATCCGAGCTGCAAAAGGTGGTCAATGGACTCGAGGACGAGATCCACTACGTTCCGACACCGTCAATGGAGGTGATGATGCGTATTGAGAACATACTAGAAGGCGAGACACCTGAAGATGCCAAAGCTATGCGAGCACCCCTGTTCCTGTGCTGTGCGCTCCTTCGTTCTTCTGAATATTTTAAAGGGTAGGATTCTCGTATAAGTACCGGGTACTTACGTGATTTGTAACTCACACAAAACAACATTTCTGCTGCATTTGTACGTACAGATCCAAGGGAGGTTTGTACGTGGAGGTAGCGACGTGTGGTCTGCCTATCGGCGCAGGCCTAGGCTCTTCAGCAGCCATGTCTGTGGCTCTTTCCGGAGCCTTCGCGGAGCTGTCTGGTAGTGCTCGACAACATGAGCTGGAATTCATCAACAAATATGCGTACAGTGCTGAAGTGATCCTGCACGGTTCGCCTTCAGGCGCAGACAACACGGTGTCATGTTTCGGCGGAACTCTGCTCTTCCAGAAACACCCGGAGCCTTCTTTCGATCGCATTCAGTGTCCGCTGAACAAGTTCCGTTTTCTCTTAGTTAATACCTGTGTCCCGCGTTCCACAAAAGAGCAAGTCGCGAACGTCCGAAGACGTTACGAAGCGGACCGTGACAAGGTGCAGAAGCGATTCGACGCTATCCAGCAGCTTGTGGAGAAATTCGTGTCTCTTAGTGAGCGTAAGGTGCTCTCGGAGGAAGTGCTCGGCCAGGAAATGGAGCACAACCAACAAATTCTAAGCGATCTGGGCGTGAGCCACCCACAAATCGACGAGGTGGCACGTATCTGCAAGCAGTTTAACGGTGCTACAAAGTTGACTGGTGCAGGTGGAGGTGGCTGTACGATCTCTCTGTTGCCGCGCGGCTTAAGTAACGAAGACCTGACGAAGCTAATTACCCGACTGGAAGCTAGAGGTTTCCAGTGTTACGCCAGCTCAATCGGCGGTCCAGGCTTGATCCGTGCTTGACAGTCGAGAAGAGATGACGGCGAGCAAGTTGAAGTAACTAAATCAAAGGTTTACTATGGATATGGAAGTATCTCTCTCTAACTACACACGACGACCCGAAGTTACGTGTGTTGATCATCCTCTAAGCGGTCTGGGTTGCAGGTGCCGGTGCTTCCGACACCGGAACTGCTTTTACTGAAGGTTCTGACGACGCCGGTGAGCTCTTCGTCGAGGCTGACGAGTCGCGCGTACTAGCGGCGCTGGAAGCACGACGCTTCTTCTCCAGTTTGTTTGCTGCCTTCACCTCACGCACCCCACTCGCCACATTCGTCGCAGCGCCAGCAAATCCACCAACGACGTATCCACCTGCCGCAACGCCACTGGCAAGCAGGACGCCACCTCCAGTCACAATCGCCTGTTAATTCCGCACATGCAAGAACAGATCAGCCACTGACCCATTTGTAAGACACTTGAACGCAAACATACCGCAACTGGGGCGGCAACAGCACCAATAGTTGCCTTCTTCAGGCCTCCCATGAACGTAGGAGTGGGCTTTTGGTTGGCGATCGCAATCGCACCCTTGTGCTCACCACCAGGTCCGGCTTCTGTAGATCCGTCAGCTGCTGTAGCCCCAGAAACTTCCGTTTCACTGTCACTCTGCTTACTGTCCTTGCGCTTGCGTGCCGAGTTGACACCAGCCTCGCCCATTTCTTTAATCCCAGAGGCAAAATTGACAACCATTGCGCCAGCTCCTGATACACCAAACCACGTTAGGTCATCGCTCTTTTATCAAGCATGAAGTTAACTAAACGCACCTGCTACGACTGCCGCTGACCCCATCACAATCCCTCCAACAATTGACTTGCCACCGTAGAGAAGACCCTTTGCAGGCGCGTACACTGCACCACCCGCGGCGCGCTTAAGACCTTTGGAGCGGTCGGGAGCGTCCGGGTCCATCGCCTCGCCGAAGCGGAAGAACTCCTCGAAAATCTCCATGGCACGCTCCTTGGTCATCGGTTGCGCGCCGTCTTCCAGTCCTTCCTTGCCGTAGATGTCATCTGCAGAGGTATCGCAGCGAACATACAGTTAGTGACATGCACCAGAGATAGAGATAGAGTGCCACACGCACAGATCTTCCGCGTGTCATCATCCGAGAGCATATTGTAGGCCTCGCCCACGATTTTAAAGTTGGCCTCGGCTGTGAGCTTATCTGCTGGATTCTTGTCCGGGTGGTATTTGATGGCCAGTTTGCGGTACCTACATACAAAGGTGTTGGCCCTTGACGCAATTTCGTTCACGATTCAAGCAGGCTAAGGCGTACGCTGTTTTGATTTCTTGCGCTGTAGCAGTACGTGCCACTCCCAAATTCTCGTAGTAGTCGTCGGAGGCGAGGTTAGCCATGTTGACTGGGCCAGACTGGTGCGCCGCTTGTGGACAGATGAGATATGACTCCAATAGGGCGGAAGAAGCGTACTTCAGCGATGTGATTGGTGGAAACTTCCATCTGGCAGCATCAATTACTCCCACATTATGTTGGCAACATGGGTTAACTAGAAAGTATTATTTACAAGTTTAATAGTATTATTGTACTGTTAGAATTAAAAGCACTACTTTTCTAACACCTACTAAAGCTGGGGAGAGGGGACCCCATTATTTTTAGTTCTATTTAAAGCAGGCGAGCTCTCGATACAGCGACTGCATTGAATATCAGATCGACAGATCGCTGCCCCCCCCTAAAAAAGGTGCCTAGGCCCGACCCTGGTTGCATTCATGGTGTGACGGGGTCACACAGCACCTTGCGCTAGAGGAAGTTATCTTCCGAGAGTATACAAACTCTCAGTGAACGGCAGTTCACAGGTCCCCTCTTTAATTAAAGAGAGCGAAGTGACCTAAATAAGGTAGATTGTAAACTGAGTATATTTATAGGAAGGTTAAGGCCGTGTTCGACATGCTGCGATAATGTCATTTTGAGGTGATAATACGATTCCAGAGCAAAATCTCGGCATCGAACACAAATAGCTGAGAATCGCATTATCTCTCGGTAACAGCATTTTTAACATGATTGTGAAATTCAGGGGGAGAGCAGAATTTTACCCGCCATTTTGAGCGAGAGGCACTGAAGCAGGGGGTTTCCCCTCGAGCGAATGACAACCCACTAAAGATAGATTTCACTGCCACTCCCACTTCCGCCCTCGAGAACTCAATTGTCATGGCCAACGCTACAACCACCAGCAATGCCAATGGCAGTACTGCGAGGGCTTCATGGACTGAAATGGAGGAGCATGACTTGCTTGACAAGTTTCTGGATGCCAGGAACGATCGCTCAATGGCGACAGACAAAGGCATTAAGTCGAAGGCATGGAGCACTCTGGTGTCGGCCCTAAACAAGAAGCACGGGCGAACTCTCGAAAAAGGTATATAGAGGTAGCCTCACGGTTTCCGTATACTCGTTCTATTGCTGGGTATGCATCGGTGGCTTTTGTATGTATCGTTTGCACTTTTTTAGGTCAATACAAGTCCAAATACACGAGACTTATGCAAGATTACGACCTGTACAAGTACATCACTAGCTTGAGTGGGGTCGGCGTATGTCCTGACACTGGCAAACCGATGATGGATGATGACGTGTGGGGGCAACTTCTGGAGTCAAAACCGAAGCAACGTGCCAAACTCACAGCATTTCGGCAAAATGGATTCCCACACGCGACGATCTGTTCCCTGATTGCCGGTAAGGTTTGCATGCACCATTGTTTCTGGCATTTCTAATGTTACGCTGGTATTTATTGGTTCAGGGGATGCTCGTGCTACCGGATCCCACGCAACTACTGTGACAGCTTTGGCAGCAGGGCTACGCGACTTGGAAGCGAGTCATGACTCCAGTGATGAAGATGAGCAATCTGTTACAACATCGACCGGTGCTGCACAATCGATGAGGCCTTCAAGCAATGGAGAAGGAGTAACGATTCGCACAAGCCTCCCCCCAACCCATCACGAGCGCGTGGACAGGATCAAACGCATTCGAGGGGGTGCTTGCAAGAGCAATCGAGGCAAACGAAAGCGAAAGCAAGACGACGACGTTGCCAAGGCGCTGACGTCACTGATGCGGGTGACCACCAAGTACATGAAGACGAAGATGGCTGCGTACGACAAAGAAAACGATCCCTCCGACGAACTGACGGGCTCCGACATCCAGCAAGCGTTGGTATAACCGCTTGGAAGATGCGAGCCAATCCATATCTAACGTTCGTCTATCTGCTTCACATGCAATAACCAAAGGACATCACCGACAATGACAGAAAATGTGATAGCAGTCGAAATAACGTGCATGACTAGGATTAAGTTATCGGTACGAGCATACTCGTTTAGGCGAGAGCTAGCGCTCACATAAAAATCCAGCATTACATCTCTTCATCACTACTGATTGTCGACAACGATTCGTCGCTATCTGTTAGCCACGAGGAATCGCTCATATCACCGCTGTTGCGGATGGGTTCTGAGCTGTTTAAGCTTTCAAGTTCGCTGTCATCACCACTACTTTCGACGTCATCATTTATAACTGAACGGTTGTCTATCTCACTTCCATCGACACTGAACAAATCCTCCTCCGACTCGTCACCAATGCTGGTCTGCATCCCCTCATATTCCTCCCACATTGTTGACGACATCCAATCACGCCACGAAGCCCCGCTTTGAAAGTCAAAACTAATAGGTTCATCTTCTTGGTCGACCGGCTGATGCAGCTGATCGCCTTGACCAATGCTCTGAAAATCTTCACCCAAATCAGTCTCATCAAACTTCCGGATAAAGCTGTGCACGCACAAGCATGCAAAAACCGCCGCTTTGATATTAAAAAACTCAAAATCCATGCACGTGCGGAGAATCTTGAATCTGCGCTTGAGAACACCAATAACGCGTTCGACGACATTCCTTGCCTTTGAGTGTCGAATGTTAAACAGCTCTTTTCCGTTCTTTGGCCTCCCGGAAGCCTTCGACCACTCTTTGAGATGGTAGCGGACACCTCGGTATGGGGTTAGCACCTTTTTGTTCAGCCCGTAGCCGGCATCAGCCAATACGTAAAAATGGTCTGGTACGAGATCAAGAAATTTGCTCCACTGGAGAACCATCGCGTCATGGGCACTTCCTTCAGCTCAAACGTAGGCAAAACACACGTTCAGATTCCAGTCACATGCAATGAGGGCATTGGTCGAGACATATCCTTTGTGGTTGCGAAAACGCTTCACGTCTTCACAAGGAACTAAAACATGGAAGTGCGAGCCGTCGATGGCGCACAGAGCTTGATCGAAATAGGGGTTGCGCTGCTTGAAATCGTCTGGAACTCCCACTGGCATGGCGATGACATCTTGCAAAGAATTCACGATGGCATAAACACCATGTAGACGATAGCGATGTATTGTAGAATAGGCTAAGTTGAACAGAACCTCCTGTGTTCGACATGTTGCTGCTGCTCCAATCCAATTCAAAGTAACCGCTAAAATCTCACGAGGATCCTTCACAGATAGTGTGATGTGCTCACGACACTGTTCAAAAAGCGCGTCAAACGCTTCCACATCTAAGCGGAAGTGGTCACGGAAAAGAAAACGATTCGCAGATGCATGAATCGCGTCGAAGAAGTGCCTACCATCCGAGGTAGAGAGCCCCAATTTACGGACCACTTTCAGATGAGCCTCGGCTCGGGTCTCCCGATGAATTGCACTGAGGCGCGCCAGCGCGATACAAATAAGCGGTAAAACCGTGTCTGCTATCATATAAGTACTATAGATGGAAGGTTAGCAACCGTATGGAGATATTGTGGTAGTTGGTGATTCGTTTGCTTGTCTACACAACGCGACGGTAGCTGACCTGTTCTCTTCAGTGAATATCGTTTAGCGTCGTAAGAGGTCGCTGCTGTCTTCATGAGAGAGATGCTGATCTTAGCTCGCAGCTCATCGGAATACGAGATCAAATCCATGGCCTTACCGAGAGGAAGCGGAAGCGTTTCTGAGAAGAAGATTTTATATGAGTGCACCACACCATTCAAAAGTTGTAGTAAAGTATTCTAGCAAAAAACACGCATGTCTTCAAGGTAATATTTTGCGCGGGTCAAGGATATTTTTTTTATTGAGTGAGCTCGGAAAAATTGCGATTGAGGAAAGTTGCAGGTAGGTCGAACACGGCCTAAGTTTGGGTTTTAGAAATGCAATGTCATTTAACCAATGGTTGGCTTTGAACGACCTTGGTACCTTGTACCAAATTTATCCCGGAGTATGACGTGTCATACTCCTGAAGTGTGAAGTGTCACACTTCATGTAGCCAGGGTACACTTAGGGCTATGTACCCCGTTACATCCTCCCTCACTTAGGTTCGGTTTACCGACCAATCAGAATGAAGAGGTGTTCGTCACAAACTCTCATTCTCAAAGTCGAAAACCATCGACTTGGCCGCGCGAGCGCGGCGGAGGCTCACTTCACAGTTAGAGCCTCGAGCAGCAACCTGTGCGCTCTTCGTCTAGGTCCCCACTTCGACCGTTATCATGCCTCGTGGCACTGCAAAGAGCGGTGCTAAGACACGCTCCAAGGCTGCTGCCGGTAAGGCGCAAGCCAAGAGCACTAAGCCTCTCGGCAAAGGCTCTGCACTCAAGGAGGCTACTCAGGTGGCCTCCGAGGCGATCGGTTCCTCGGGTGACGCGGCTGTGGACAAGCGCGCAAGCAAGCGCCACAGTCCGTCGCCCTCGTCTTCAGACAATCGTCCGAACCCTCGGTTCGTGGAACGTGAGTTCAACTCGGGCAGTGAAGACGATGCCGAGTCCGAGAGCACTCATGATGCTCCTGCGGGCTCTGTGGGAGGGCACAGCCCAGTGCCCAGTGAGCACAAAGATGACAGCGTGCAGTCGCCCGCTAGTGATCACGGTGATCACAGTCCCAGGACCTCTGTGCGCTCTGAGAGTCCGGCCGTCAAGGCTAAGGGCGCTCCCAAAGCCGGTGGCGATGAGGAAGAGAATCCTCGCAAACGTCTCTCGCTTGCCGAGGGTCTTGCGCGTGCTAAGGCCTCCAAAGCCGAAGGCGCCAAGCCCTCAAAGAAGCTTACAGCCTCTAAGTCTCCACTCCGCGAGGAGAAGGAGACTCGACGCTCCTATCAGAGTCTCTTCGACTCCTCGGATGGAGAGGAGGAGAAGGAGGAAGAAGAGGAGGAGGAGGGTGCTATCGTTGAGCTCCGGGAGGTCTCGAATGACCTCGACCAGCAGCAGAAGGATTTCCAAGCTGCCCAGCGTGTGCGTGGGGGCTCGGTGGCGGCACCCGTCAGCCAGGGAGCTGCCATCAACTCAAGAGGGTATTGGCCTCCCGATGAGAGCTCTGGGGCTGACCTCATCTTAGAGGTCCTCGTCGCTCCTCGTGGCCTTGTGGACGGCCACACTTCTAGGGGCATCTATGAAC